CAAAGATTTCTGACTCACCAATTAATCCAAAACTCTGGGATTGGCTCCTAAACTGGCACACCCTGAACTCAGGGAGGACAATTTTGGGCAAGTTACAGAAAAACACTTTAATTTTATTTAATTTCTTGAGGTCTCAGTTGCAGCGAGGGCTGAGAGGGGACGGGAATTTAATTTCCCCCAGATGCAAAACTTGAGTTAATGCAGGCTGCCTTTGGATGTCTCCACACTCACCAAGACGTCTGCTCTAACTGAAGAGAAACATTCCTCAAGGAATTTGCTGTCTCATTCCTTGATGTTTTAAAAAAATGGGAGTAAAGCTGCAGGAAAAGATCCTTTTATTTGCCTTAACATTCTCAGCTTGAGCACAATTCCAAGTTTCAAGACTGTGAAATCCATGAATTGGAATATTTCCCTCCTCAGACTAAGTGGGAGCCAAAAAAATCTGTTAGTCCAGGACCAAAATGGCTGGGAATTTGCAGGTCAAATCCTGCAGGGAAAAATTCCGTTTGCAAAGAGGCAAAAGTCCCCCGAGCTGAGGAAATCAACCATTCCCCGAAAACTGAGGGATATTCCAGGCTGCACCTCCCGTTCCCTGCCTAACCCAGAGCACAAGGTGTGGTCAGAGTCCAGCCAGGAAAATTAAGGTGCAGCTTCCCAGTGCTTTCCCAAAAAAAAAAAAATCCCCCAGACAATTATCAGAACGAGAATGGGGCTCTGCATCTCCATCCCAAACCTGGGATCAGCTGGGAATCATGGAATCATTAAGGTTGGGAAAGACCTCCAGGATCATCGAGCCCAGGTTCAGCACTAAACCCTGGCTCTGAGCACCACATCCACGGATTTTCTGAATACTCCCATGGATGTGATCCCACCGCTTCCCTGGGCAGCCTGGATGCTCGACCACCCCTTCCATGATGGAATTCTTCCTAACAGATCAGACTCTACGATCTTAGAGGTCTTTTCCAACCTCAGGGATTCTGTGAGCGCCACAGTTGCACCTGGAAGCAACAGGGAAGAGCTGGGAGCCAGAATTGCACTTTCTTGTGGCTCAACCATCTCTGCCAATTTAGGAAATGATGGTTTGAGGTGCAACCAATTAAAAAAAAATAAATAGATCAGGCTTTAGTGACAAATCCAGAGATTGACTGCACATATTTCCCTGGATATCCCTCATGGATGCCCCTATTCCCATGGAGCTGCCACTGAGCCATCCCAGGGGCTGGAATCACCCCCCACTCCTCATCACCCCTCCAACTTCAGGTGGGGTTAAACCCCCTGGAATAACTCCTTCCTGACCCTTCAGCTTCCCCATCCACACCGTAAAATCCTGGAATACCCAAATCCATGCCCCAGTTTTGGGATGGCTCCCCAATCCTTTCGGGACTCACCACTTTCCGGGCACAGGGCGACGCCGAGCACGACCAGGAGGAAAAGCTTCATCCTTTAGAGGTCTGGGAGCCTCCAAAACAAGCAGGACTGGAGCAGGGCAGGTTTTATACCACTGCAGTGCTTGCTTTGATCCAGAGATAATAACCAGAGTCTGCTGTGTCAGATGATGGATAATTGGGAGCAGCGTGCTCGGGCTTGTATGGAGAAGGGTGGGGTTTTATAAAATGGGGGGGGGGGTGTTTTTCCTCACAAGTTCTCCTTTTCCTGGTTGTTTCACAACGCAACTGCTCCAGCTGACGTGAACTCTGCAAATGGTTTCTAATTCTGGAGAAGTGGGGGAAAAGCAAAACATAAAAACAAAGCAATTTTCCCTGCAAAAGAATGAGGTTTTCTTTTCCAGGTCTCAGAGCAGGCTGCATCCTCCAAGATCGTGTCCTTGCACATGTGGAAATGGAGGGAATTTAAATTTAAAATTGAATTTGGGATGGAGGCTTCTCCCAAGTGTGTCCCAGGTTTGTCAGGACAGTGAGATCAGAAGAGCAGAATCCTTCCACTCTTTTTCATAGGGGACCAGGCATCATTTTCTGTCTCCTTTTTAAGTTCAAAATCAGAAATTTTTCTGACATCTTTTTTATGAGGAGAAAATGTTATCTTATTAAAAAATAAATTCCACAGAGCAAAGGAAAATGGCCATTTCAGTTAAAAAAATAGAAATAACACCCACTCCCATGGCATGGAACAAGCTGGGGAATTTTTCACAAATTCATTAAAAAAAATGTCAGGGAGAAAAACACAAGGCAATTAAAGAATGGAGAAGAAGGGGTTGGCTGGTCAATGATCTCAACTCGTTAAGTCTTCAGAAAAAGAAAATTTGTGAAATGCCAAACAGGATTATTCCATTGGATTCCCAGATTGTTCTCTTTATTCCTCTTTTTTTTTTTTTTTTTTTTTTTT